TCCCTTGGGATGAATGGAGGGCACATGGAGCATAGTAAGCTGTGAGAAAAAAACCCAGAAAAGCACCCAAATGCGCTCTTCATTCAAAGGACAAACACACTATAGACTATCCAATGTCCTAGCAGTGCTGTCATCTCTGGAACCTTCTTGTAATGCTCAATCCAATCCCCACTAAACTACACGGAAATACTCCTATGAATTCAATGGACTATGCATCAGGTTCTTAATGAACAAGAGGAGACAGTATGAATTCATTTGTAAAAATTATCTTTAATTGTTAAGCAACCTAAACTTGCTAAATAAGGCGATCAATCAATTAATTCATTTCACTGTTATCACATTCAAGACATGAAGATCAATGATTCAGCTACTCCACAGCTAAAATCACCCAATCATAAGCTTTCATAATAAAATGATAATAATTTGACTTTCTTTTTTCCCCTTTTACTCAAACACAGGTATCTGATTGATAGAAGCCTGGACTAATTAACTACCTGTTCATAAAGTTGGGACATTTTCACCCTCTCCTATTCTAAGAGCATATCTACACTGGTGCACTCAGGAAAGTGAAGCCAAATGAATTAAAGTTGCAAATTTAAAGTGTGTAAGTTAAATCACATTAAACCCCTGTGTGGACACTTTCATTTAGAAGTAAAGTGGCCTTAATTCACTTTAGTTTAGTGTACTAGCTAAAGCACTGATATAGTCCCATGACTACGTTAATACGAACTAAGTATCTTTTAGTTCGCACCAACAGGGTCCACATGGGACAGTTACAGCGCAACATTTCAGAGCACTCTACAATTCATACCCCTGCAGTCCACATTGTGGCACTATGTAGACAAGCTCTTAGACCACTTTACCTCTGAACGAAAGCACCCACACAGGAGTTTTAATGCACCAATAGTTAATTCGGCACCAATGGTTAATTCGGCTTAACTTCCCATGTAGGACAAGCCCTACTAAGGCCTAGTCTTCACTTACCGGCTGGTCCGGCGGCACGCCATCGATGTTCTGGGATCGATTTATCGCGTCTGGTTAAGACGCGATAAATCGATCCCGGATCGATCCCGGAAGTGCTCACAGTCGGCGCCGGTACTCCAGCTCGCCGAGAGGAGTACGCGGCGTCGACAGGGGGAGACTTCCGGACGCGTCTGGACCGCGGTAAGTTCGGACTAAGGTACTTTGAATTCAGCTACGTTATTAACGTAGCTGAATTTGCGTACCTTAGTCCGAAGTCCGGACTAAGTGGGGACCAGGCCTAAGAGTTATCAAAACAGAATTGAAATTACAAAGTCCATTTTTCATAGCTCCCATTACATGTGATAGTGTGCCACGAGGGCAAACTTTAAGGATATATTTTATAAAGTGTAGCAACAGCCGGTGCTCTGACCACATTTATACAACTGAAAAAAATCAAACAAAGCAGCAATCTTCAGGCATCTTCTTAAGAACTGTTACTACACAGAACAGGAGGGAGCCTCCAGCTCAAATTTAACAAGGAATGTATTTTTCACATCCACAGTTTCAAGACTTAGGGACTAAATTAGTGCAATTAAGTCGCCTGGTAATTAGTAGGAAACATGTCTATGCAAAATAAAACATCTGTTTCCGGACTATATCAGGCCTTCAATATTCCTTTTATATTTCCATTCAGCCTTATGCTTACTTCCTAGCCTTCAGATAAAGGATGCTGCAGTGATCTAAAAAATAAAAAACACAAAATTGCTGTCTTTTTCAGTGCCTTAATCCAATGTTGGGAACTGCAGATGTATAGTATATCTGCATAGTTATTAATACATCCAGATTTACATGGTCATGTTTAAAAATCTAGTGGACACATATTTAGCAAAAAGTGCTAGCTAGACAAAGTTAAATATTTCAGTCATATCCTATATTAAGGATATGTATATAAACAGTATGTGGAGCATTAATAAACAAATAATAGATGTCTCAGTAAATGATTAATCAATTGTTATTGAGTTAAATGGATGCTTATAACCACCTATAACATATAATATTCATATCTATAACACGCTTATAATATCTATTTAATCATTTATTACTTCTTAATAAAAACTATTTATATACGTACTCTTAATGTAAAGTGTGATTGATATGTCTAAATTAAAGACTAGTTGATGCTACAATACTTGGCCTAAAAGAAACAGTTTCAGAACAGATATTGTAGGAAGTATGCAAAACTTTAACTACAGACATTGGGCCTGGCTAAATCTGCATTATGCCTTGGCTTGAAAACTACAGAGGCTAACCTGAAACCTGAAGAAAGGCACCATAACCATGCTGTGCTCATGCAGCCAACCCCTCTCTCCTCACTCCACCCACCTCAGCAGACATTTATGGAAAGTAGACTCAATGGTTATCCAGGGGTGTGTGCTGTGACTGTGTTAATTATACCATACATAACTGTTTCACTATTATCACGTCTATCATACAGATATCTTGTCTCTCATCTTAAATTTAGATTGTAAGATCTACAATGAGGCTTTGGACACTACTGCAATACAAACAAACAAACAAAAACAACAACAATACCTTCCCAATAGGGAGGTATATTACTCTCTGTCCAACTTGACACCTGGGCAGACTGAATGGTTGCACAGCCCACAGAGCACTGTTTATAGTTAACAGCTCAGAAACTGAATTGTCAACAAGGGAGTACAAATGAGATCTTGGCCCTTTCAGCTTTAATACTCCTGGTAATCATAAGGTAGGGGCAGAAAAGCCATCCCCTGAAATTTCTACCATCCTCAACAAAATTTTGGGTCTCCCCCCAACCCTTTAAAGAAGAGCAATCTCCCCACTGGTGCTGTCCACTTCCACCCAGGAGCTTTGCAGGGGCTACAATAACCTACATGGCCCTAGTGGGAGGCCAAGAGTGGGTCAAGATCCACAAATGTCTGCTTTTACATTTTCATCCCCATCCCAAGCAGCTCTGCATATGCCACCCACAAAATCTTATAAAATAAATAAATAAATTAATGGAGATATCCTATCTCCTAGAACTGGAAAGGATCTCAAAAGGTCATTGAGTCCAGCCCCCTGCCTTCACTAGCAGGACCAAGTACTGATTTTGCCCCAGATCCCTAAGTGGCCCCCTCAAGGATTGAACTCATAACCCTGGCCAATGCTCAAACCACTGAGCGATCCTCCCCCCCCCCAATAGGATCTCTGCCTCAGTCAGTGCATGGTATTGACCTGCTCTGAGGATGAATAAGTAGTGAAGGAAACTCTCTGTAGGACAACTGCATAATTTGTTCCAGAACTTGGAAGATGTGTAGTGAACGAGGCAGGGGATTGTAGGGAGAGAAAGGATGGTCTTAGGTTGAGGCAGCTGAATGTGGTTCTGGAGAACTAGATTCTATCCCGGTCTCTACGAAAAACTTTCTAAGCAAATCGCTTAAGCTAACCTTTTGACAGATAGTAACTAATCATGTGTTCCTCATTTTTTTGGCTACTTGAGTTGAGACCAGGGGGTTTGATGATCTTATATTCTCCGTGTGTCAGTTCCCTATCTGTAAAATGGGGATTATAATAGCCACTCATCTCATAGCAGTGTTGCAAAAATAAATGAATGTTTATGAAGCACTCAGATATTATAATGATGAGCTCCATAGAAAAGCTCATGAAGAAATTAATAATACTGTCTTTAGAGCAGGGTTTTAATATTGTACAGTAAATAAGAAGTGAGGGCTACAGATGGAACAAGGAGTAGAAAACAAAAATACTGAATAACTGCTAATTAAGTGAGCACCCTCCATTCTGTGTACTAACTGAGAACATGGGTCCTGGGGGGAGGGGGGAGAGAAGTATTATATCATGTAATTAAAGACAGCACCATAATGCACAGGCAACTTTAATTCTGACATTTCCTAACTTCTGAGAGGTTGACCTTAGTAATATTATTTAATACAGTTTGTGTGTGTTTAAAATAGAGAATCAGAGCATATGATCCTGGAAAGGGAAGGCATAGGTCCGCCACATAAGTATTACACTCTGATTTAGCAGAGGGAGTTTTGCTGCACTGCGGAATGAAGTTAAGCATAAACATTAAAATAAACAGTTACACTGATAAGTTACCTAGTTCTATTGTGGAAATTGACTCTTCATAAACAGTTTGTTAACTTTCTACATAACACATGTTCTTGTCTCCTATAAACATATATATTCAGCAATTTTAAAATACTGACACATTCCTCACATCAGATTCATAGACTGAGCTTTGCCAAACATGTATCTTGGAATTTTGCAAGACTTTGCAACTGACAAAGAAGAATTAGATGCTACTGTTTTGGAACAAGTCACACAACCTAAATATTTAAGTGTATGACTTAACTCAAGATTTATTGCTGTCTTTTACAGACCTTCATATGTGGATTTAGTTGAAGCAGATGCGTGGTAGTTGCACCCACTATGGCTACCATTCAAATCTGTACATATGAATTTAACAAGTCACAAAACACAGCAAATTATCATGTAATTAAAGACTATCATAATGCATATACACAAGGGGGGCCTAATTAAGGCAACCTTAATTCTGGTATTTCCTAGCTTCTGAATGCTTAACTGTGTAGCCTTAACATTCTTTTAAAGTATTTTAATATAATTTAAATAGGTGTAATATGTGATCACATCAAAAGAACTCCTATTATTATGAAGTTTGCTCTTGGGCAGATATTTATTTACACACACACATAAGTTAAAAAGTGTTTCTTTAGATTTCATAACAATGTATTTGTGGCACAGCAAGGTCTCAATCCTACAAAGATTTACTCATTACTTAACATTTGAGTACTCACATTAGGTTCATGTGTAGACCCGTGAACATCAAAGTTAGGCACGTGCAAAAGTCTTTGCAAGATGTTGTCAGCTCAGGAATTTCCCCCAGTAAGTAATCTCTTTAAAAAGTTACATAAAGATAACATGGGGGAATTAAAATGGGTCAGAAAAGGCTTCATATTCTTGTGCTTAGTACTTACATCATCTATTTTCTTTTTCGCATGGGGTCCATATGTATCTTCAGAACCTAAAATTTGTATGTTAACTGCACAGTAATCTTCATACCCAAGCTGACTGAAAATAAGGCGAGTCCTGCAACAGATTATTTGTTATTATCAAACTGCTTAAAAAATATTATACGCAGTAACAGTGCAGTCCATCAGTTTTAGTTCTGTTCTAGTTAAATTTGGATTTGAATATTTCTTATCTGGGCAAATTTACTGCTATATCATATGACAATATCAAGTTAGTCATATTTAAAATACATCCTGACCTCTTGATTCTAAATTTCTATTTATTTAAGTTATCTTAAAGATGGCCTGCAAAGGAAAAAATAAATGGGCTTGTACTTTTTTACTTGCTTCATTCTGATGAATGAAGAAAGCAGAAAATGTTATTAAAATTAATACATTCTGCTTGCTTTCACATTAGAAATTCAGCTCCTATATTTGCTCCCCCTGGAAGACACTATGAATAATTAAGAAATACATGAATGACATCAGAAGTACCAAAGAAATGAAATCTACTTAACTGAGTTCAGGAGGAATTTTTATTCAGACTTTAAAATTCCTTGTTTTGTGTTAATTCCTATGTAAATTAAATGCCTAAAAACAGTTGGAAGAAAAGTTATTTGTTGAATTTTTACTACCCCCAGCTCTTCAGTTAAGAGCTGAGAAGCTCTCAATACATTTTTCTGGGTCCTTCCCAGTGGAGACTGCCACTAAACACCAGGAAGGCAAGACTTGACATTCCTAATGTGTCTATAGTTAACAACGAGCAGGAGGGAGGAAAGGGGGAAAACAGTGGAAAAACATCTTTCCAGCTTTCTTCATACTGCATTAAAAAGAAGTATACACACATTTTTTTCCATTGCAGGTCATATTCAGCAGAGCCACAGATAATATAGGTTAACCTATATTTACCAGATGTCAAAACAACTGGAAGTGAGAAAAAATAATAGAAGTTACACTGTTCCAGATTCCATACAACATGGTCTAGAGTAAAGAATCAGGAACTCTGAGTCCTACTAAGAGCTCAGCTACTGACTCACTGTGGGTACGTCTACACTGCAATGAAAGACCTGAGGCACCAAGTCTCAAAGCTTGGGTGAACCGACTCGGGCTTGCAGGGCTTGGGCTGCAGGGCTAAAAATTGCAGTGTAGATGTTTGGGCTCAGGCTGGTGCCTGGGCTTTGAGACACTTCTACCCCAAACCATAGTAGTAGAAAATTTTCACTCTACTAAGAAGCCTGCAGCCAATCAGCACAGCCCCCAAAGTAGGCTGTTCTGACTAGAGATGGGGAGAAGCCAAGATGGATAGTGGATGCATTGATTCAGGAGACTCCAGAACAACTTGCACATATAGCTATGTGCCTCTAATGGATCCTCCAGAATCTGAACAGGTCTGGGTGGTATCCTTGGAACATCCCTCTCTTTCTTCCACACAGAGCTGGGAAAACCCCAGTGGCACTTACAGTTTGAATGTGTCTGTGTCTAAAATCCTCCAAATTCTTTCCTCAGGCTCAAATCAGAGACACTATATAACCTCTCAATGCAAAAACCTCGAACTGTTGCCAGAGGTTGTTTTCTCTCTCACAAGTAGCAAAACACTCTGTATAGTCATCTAGTGACATGGAAAAATACACACTAGAAACAAGCTTTCAGAGCTTTCACAGTGATTGGTGCAAGAGAATCCATAATTCTTAGTTTCTGCAAAGCCATTCAACTAGTAGAGGTGACGTATTTTACCCTATTCACAGAACTAGATCTCTTCAATTTTGCAGTTACAAAACCAGGGAAGTAACCAAACTAAAAATTGTCATAGTAATTCCACTCCATTGAAACTGCAAGAAAATATCAATATAAAAAAAAGATGATAAAAGGTCAAAATTAGTACAGACAGAAAGTTCAACTTTGTGAAGGCAATCAATAGGAGGGTAGTATATATAAAAAAAAACCAAAACAACAATGTAAAATGTGCTTCTGTTTCCCTTTACCAGTGTCAGTGCTTCCTTAACACATACCAAGTATATGAGGCAACGCCATATATCTGGCACCCTTACATATTTCCACCAGATTAAGAGATTTTATAGGTTCAAAAAGGAAATTACATTAAAACCGACAGAATGTTTCACACCAGTGGAAGATTTTAAATACACCTATTGTATATGCTCATTGAATTGTCAATATTACACATGAGACCAGCAGTAAAGAGACCAATGTATTTAAGATTAATTTAAAAGTGATTCATAAATATGATATTCCTGTGTTACTCATTATGGTAAAAATTTGCAAACTTGGGTGCCTAAAATCAGGCACCTAAATTCATATTTATGACACCAAAATACAAGTGGCCAAGATTTTTCGATGCACTGAGCAACCCCGCACCCAATGAAGTACAGTGAACTCCTCACTTAAAGTCGTCCCAGTTAACGTTGTTACATTGCTGATCAATTAGATAACATGCTCGTTTAAAGTTGTGCAATGCTCCCTTATAACGTTGTTTGGCAGCTGCCTGCTTTGTCCACTGCTTGCAGAAAGAGCTGCTCATTGGAGCTAGCTGGTGGGGGCTTGGAACCAGGGTGGACCTGCAGCCCCCCTATCAGCTCCCAGTTTCCCTAAGTTCCCTGTGCAGCAGCTGCCCAGCAGGCTATCAATTGCCAGGCAGTTCAGCTGTCCCTCCCACCACTGCTATGTGCTGCTCCTGCCCTCTGCCTTGGAGCTGCACCCGGGAGCCTCCTGCTTGCTGTGCAGGGGAGGAGGGGGAGAGGGGGGCTAATGTCAGGGTGTCCCCCTCCCCCTGCTCCTGCCCCCCACTTACCCCATCTCCATAGAGCAGGGCAGGGACAGGACAGGGCTCAGAACGGAGGGAGCTTGCTGGCAGCAGTTGCTGTCTCAACTTGCTGATCTACTTAAAAAGGCAATGTACTTAGAGTGGGGTCAGCATCTCTCTCTCTCTCTCTCTCTCTGCATCTCTCACACACAGGGTGTGTCTCTGTCTGCCATGCTGTCTCCCCTCCCTCCATTTGTGCTGCCTTGTAGAGTGTGAGGCTACATTAACAACGTGTTAACCTTGAGGGCTCAGCCAAGTACTAGTTCATCATTTAGCAGTAAGGCATTCCCTGGGAAATATCCCAGCCTCTGACTTCACCACCTCAACCAAGCTTCACCATCATCATTGCTGTGTACAGTATGAAATTGTTTGTTTAAAACGTATTGTGTGTGTGTGTGTGTGTGTGTGTGTGTGTGTGTGTGTGTGTGTGTATATATA